GAAGCATCGNGACGCGACGCGACGCCCGGCGCACCGCGGGCCCGAGTCGATCTCGAATTTTCGTGCCGGAAGGCGGAACGCGCGCGACTCTCCAGCCTCCGGTTCTACCGTACAATATTCGGGTGTCTAGCCGCGTTATCGACGCGTCCTCGTCTGGCCGCGGTATCGCGCCACCGCGATAGGCGGGCTACGCGCGTTTACGGCAGGCCGCGTTATCCACGGCTGGACGCGCTGCAAAATTTAACCTTTGGATCGGACGCCGATTCCTCGCGTTTCGCACAACTTTTTCAGCCAAGGACTGCTGAATTTTTTCTCCGCCGATTGGAATTGGAATTGGAATTGGAATTGGAATTCCAGGGGCTAGCGTTCGAAGAACTCCGAGGCGATCTTTTCAGGGTCGAGGGAAAGCTATTAGACATCCCGTGGACGTAGCTCGTGCATCGGGAAGCCTGCTAATGGGCTTCCGGTGAGCGAAGCGTTAATATTCACAGGGTCGTCTCCACCGTTTCTTGGAACCGAATCCTTTCTCCGTTTCGCTCGTTCCCGACGGGCGAACGAAGCGCGTCCGCGTTGAAATACCATCGACGAGACGAGCGGTGCATTTCGAGCGTCTCGCGGCCGAGACGCGGACTGTCCTATGCGCGATCGAGCAACTTTCGGTTTTCGCGTTACAAATTCGATGGAACAGGAACTTCCTGAACGATGGACCGTGTGGGCCGAGCGCGAAACGGATTAAACGATCCGGCCGAGGGGGCGGGACGGGGCGCGCGTAATTTCCGGACGCTTCTCGGCCGGCAAAGTGCCCGGACGCGCGGCGCACGGTACAAACAAAGTGCTTTGATCGTTCGCGTTGCTCGTCCACCGTGAACAACTCCGCGCCGTAGACGGACGCTAAAAAAAGGCGTGCCCCCTCGCGAAGGCGGCCGATGCAGCCGATGCGAGCAACAAAGGAGAGGAACGCCGTCGACGTCGACGGCGACGGCGACGCGGCGACCCCTCCGCGCGCCGCCGAGGGGAAAGGAAACGCGCGTCGGTGGTCGCTCGAAGAATCTTTCCATCGGAGCGTCGAGCCTGGCGGATGGCACGATTCCCCGAATCCCATTAAATCGCGCGTTGCCGACGAGCCCATTCATTCGAAGAAGCGGGAAGCCATTTTCCGCAACGGCGTTACCCACGACCCACGACCGGCGACCCGCGACCCTGCCGAGCCGCGGTTCTCGCCCTCGCTTCCACCGACGATGCGTCTTGACGCCGTTACGTCATCGAGCGTTAGCATCCCGCGTCGGCGTTGCGTCACCGGAGCGTCAGAGTCGGAGTCAGAAGTCAGAAGCGTCGTACGTCAATACCGTGCCGAGGCGTCTCCGCTGCGATCTCAATGGCGGAAACGCGGTGTCCGGCGCGGCGCGGCGCGACGCTGCGGCCGGCAGGGCACGGCAGTCCCTCCTGCGTTCGCCCCGGTCACTGCCTCGCATCTGCTTCGACCTCGACCGGTAAGGTGTTTCCTGCTTTATCCGTGACTCCGTCGATAACGACGGGGAGAGAACGGTTCGAATCGGAGGCGCCGAGTTCCTCCCTCTCTCTCTCTCTCTCTCTCTCTCTCTCTCTCTCTCTCTCTCTCTCGGCGATCCGCGGATCGCGGAAGCCCAGCCCCTCTGCCCTTCGCGCTGTTTCGCGGGAGGTCGCGACCACGGCCCGGAGCGGAACCCGAGAGCGTCGCAAAGACAAACTGTAAGACGCTTTTCATTCGAGGAGCCGATTCTTCCCGACGAAAACAATTCCGGAGCTCCGATTGCGACACCCGCATAAAACAATCCGTCGGAGTACAACGGGATCGTCTCTTTTACCATCCTACGACGCGCTAATTCGGGATAGCCGAAAATTTCGATCACATGGCAATATACCCAGGCTATTTTCCGCCACTGACCTCCGAGTTGGCTCGCTGCCAATTTTTTATTTAACTCTTATGTATTTGAGCAACTCTTTTATACCCGACGTTAACCGTTCCCGTTGAAAGGCGACTTAACTTTGATCGTCGTTGCGTCGGCCCTTCTTTCCAGCGCAGCGATCGCTTGGCGTCTTTGGAACGGCAACGCTTCCAAAGATGTTCGAGAAAGCCGTCGGCCGAAAAGAATTCGATCTTTTAGCGCCGAGTTCGCACGAAGCATCGGCGTTCGAGGGTAAGATTCGGAGATACGAATTCGCGAACAGAAGAGCTCGTCGAGGTTCCTTCGAAGGTTTCCGTCGATTTCGTAGGAAGTCGGCGTGTACCGAGTTGTCTCGGTCGTCTCGGTCGTCTAGGTCGTCTAGGTCGTCTAGGTCTCGGAGGCCGCGTCCCGCGTCGGCCTCGGGTCCGGATCGCAGGCTCTTTCGAACGGCGTTGTCCCTTCTGCCGCGGGACAAAGGGATCGCCGGGAACTGGGTTAGCCCGATTACACGGAGAGTCGGCCCGCGGTAATTGGGTCGTGGGATCGCGTCCGTTCCCCGCGTTCTATCTCGGCCGATGAATCCGCTCGGCAGCGAGATAAGACGCGCGGAGAGAGAGAGCCGCGAGGATTCCTCGAGGTCGTGTTCCGTGCGTCCGCTCGTTCGGTGCGCCGCGGCCCGAGCGATCCCTTTTCCGCCGCCTCCGTCGGGTCGTCCATTCTTCGCGCGTCTTCCTGCCGGCCGCGTCGCGAGGGAGCTTCTCTCTCGACCATTGTTTTCGTCCCTATTCCCTCGGCGATCCGCTACCTTCCGTCCTCCGACTTTTATTTTTCTCGGCCGGCTGGCTCGTTAGACCTCTTCTTCTTCTTCTTCTTCTTCTTCTTCTTCTTCTTCTTTCTGCTTCTTTCCGCGATAGAAAACACGGCAGGACGAGAGTCGCCTTTCGGCCCTTCCAAAGATCGCGAGGAAACGAACCCGCTTTATTTTCCTTTCCTCGACATTGTGCTCCCTCGAAACGCGAGACGTCTTTGCGCTCGCGAAAAAAGAACGCGTTTCTCGAGTTCGTCGCCTGCGGAGGACTTTACCTGGGGAAGGTGCGAGAAGGCGAGGGAATCGCGCGTTCGGGGCAAGCGAATCGGCTGGTCGGCCGGAACGGCCGAAATCTGGTTAAAAATTCCCAAGACCGGGAAGCGTCCGAAACGTTCGGTCGGACCGTTTGCTCGGTGCGAAAGCGAATCGTAATCTCGCAGCGAGAATTCGCGCGGTTTACGGGAGCCAGTTTCGGTTGCCGTAGGGTAACGAGAAGTTAAGACACCGCGACGCGACGGAACGAGTTCTCGGCTCTCCTGCCACGGTCTACCTCCGGAGCGGAATCCTTTCCGTCCAATCCGTCGAATCCGTTCGGAAGCGGGCAGCAGCCTCCGATCCGCTCCGCTAGGATTCCAATTCCTGCGAGCCGAATCGAACGTCCGATATCGCGTAAGTCCAGATGCGATTCCCGGCCGATGTCCGATCGCTGGCAACGTCGTTTCGGTTTCGTGCCGTGAAACTTTAAGCGGAAACGATTCCCCGCGAGGGTCCGTAAATAAGAAACGCGACCGATCGAGTGGCGCGGCGCGGCGCGGCGCGGGGCTCGCCGAACGGGAATCGAGTTTTCCGAAAAATTGCATGGCGAGCGTAACGAATGGCTGCTCGCAAACTTCCGCTTCCCGTCTCGGCCTCGAGCAGCCGTGTTCCTTCCTCTATACTCTGCGCGGTATTACGGAACAATCGCGCGAGAGACGGTCGGACCGCGGACGAACCATCCGTAAGCTGTCTCGCGGGAGCGCCGACCCGTCACGGTTGCTACCGTATCGTGGCCGCTGAGAAATCGGCTCGGTTTCCGGATCCACGCGATCGTGCCCGCGCGGACGTTCGCGTTCCAGCGCTCGCGACGATCCACCGTTGCTCGCTCGAGACCGACGCGCGGCTATCCGGGCTCGACTTTCGGACGTCTCGACGATTCGAGCCTCGAGCGCTTTCCGCGATAGACGCTTTCGAGCGATGATCCACGAACGGAGCTTTCAACCTGTCGCCCATCGGTACCCTCCCCGTTCGACAGCGGGGCATTTCGGAGAGCGAAAGGATCGCGATCGGTGTTTCGTTCGGCCGCGTTCCACAGGATCGTGGGACTCGGTCGTCGACGAAGAATTCGTTCACCGGACAGAAAGAAACGGAGAAACAGACTCGCGATAGTTTAGCCGAGATGGTTTTTCTGCGGATTCCTGGCCGAACGGCGAACGGAACGGAACGGAGCGCGAGGACGGTTCCTATAGCATGTCGCTAATCGGTCCGCGTGCAACACGCGAAATGATTTGCGGCTGGCCCGCCGCGCCTCGCGTATCGTCGAGCGTATCTAGCGCGGCTCGGCGTGCCGCGGAATGCACGCGGGCACAAATCATCGGCCTGTTCGCTCGTCGCATCTGAAATGCAAAAACGTCGGCCCCGTTGTTTGTTCGGGAAACGAAATATTTATTTCCGAGTTTCGCTCTCTTATGCGAGATCGATTCGAACCTACTTGAGATTCTTACGCAGGCACGCCGGTCTCTCGTCGGCGCAGCAGTTGCCAACTGCCGGTCGAGCGTTCGAGCGACTGGATATTCCGGTGGTCGGGTTTATCGGTTCCCGGATATTCGAGCTCTCGTTGGTTATAGGCACGAAGCGTTTCTTCCTCCGAGTCGCCCGATGTTTCGTCGTTCCAGCGATTCGGAAGATTTCGGCGTACGTTTCGATGTTCGGGCGTTCGGAAACCTTGAGAATTTTTGCGTTCGCGAGCGTTCGAGGATTCGTAGAGCGAAATCGGGAATCCAGCCGCTGGATATCTAAACGAATCTAGTCTAGGTTTATCGGAGGTGTCGTCGCGCAACCGATCAGCCCCCGTCAGCTCCGGTCCGGTCCGGTCCGGTCGGCTCGGCGAACGTCCGCCACCCGTTCGAGGACAGATTCGCGACGAAACGCTCCGGTACCGGGACGCTTCGATGTCCGCGCCGTCGAACGCGGATGCGTCAGGACTAAAGGAAAGCGTTTCTCTTTTGCAGCACATGGTGCAGACAGGCATGGCTGCGCCCTACGGTGGGGGTGTCTTCCCCCCGCCGGTGAACGGCGTAGCGGGTGTCGTCGGGGCGGCTGGAGCAGCCGGTGAAGTGAAACCACCTCCGCCAGTGCCTGTCAAACAAGAAGACAGCGGTGCACCCCAGCAGCCGCCACCCAGCGGGCCTCAAGTACCACCGCCGGCCGGTGCTCCACATCCGACAGCCCCCGGTGCACCGACCGCGACCAGTTTCAGTCCGCCCCCACCTCCGAACGGCGTCGATCAACAGGCTATCGTGAGTATCTGTCGCTTCCACGGTCCATCGGTCGCGGATACCCGTCGATTCTGCGTCGAGACGCGATCCGCGTCGATCGATACGCGAACGCGGTCGTACGAGCCGTCGACCGATTTTTCTCGCAAACGCTGAAAATCTATGGAAAATCTGTTCTAGTACGCGTTCGAGCAACGCCTGGTCCCTAAATATCTCGCAACGTCTCGCTCGACCCCGTAAAACCGAGGCCGAGGTCGCGCCGCGTCGATCGCTCGCTCGAAACCGGAGCGTCCCGTCGGCGTGTACGAGTTGGATTTTTTGTCGCCGCGCGTCGTCTTTGCGGCGATTTCGCGCCGAAATCGCGGCTCGCTGCCGGCCCTCGTCGAACACGGAGCGAAAGCCCGATGGAAGCGCGCCCGTCGTTTTCCATGGTTGGGAACGCGCGGACGAAAACAGAGCGAGGGGGTCGCGTACGATTCCACGGCCCTCTTCGATCATTCCGGCCACGTACGGCCCGAAAAACAGACCGAAAGGGAGCCCGGAGGGCGAGAGGTCTAGCGCGGCGAACGAGATTACGAGGAAGTCGACCCAACCTCGCGAGGAAAGCGTTTCCGTTTCAACCCTGCCGAGAGTTTAGGATTTCGGATGTCGATGCCGCGGCAATCCTTCGGATACGCTTTCCGATCGATTCACCGGCTCGCCGCGCGTCCTTGACCCCCTTAACGATCGATTCTCCTGCCGAATTCTGTATCTTGTACTTGCGTCGACCCGTTCGGTTCGGAATACGATCCAAGCATATATCGTTTAAACGAAGATGGAGAAACTAAAACCGAGTCCGATATTTCCGAAACGTCCCGTGGACGGTCTCTGCCCGTTCTCGTCGCGCCGAAACGTTCGGTTTACGATCGGTGGTTGATAAATCGTGCGGCAAACGGAGTCGGAGCGACGCGAGCGAATCGATGGAATTTGTCGAGAGCAGACTCTCGAAGCGAGACGAGTTTATTCGCCGGGGCGTCGCAAAGCCGCGAAACGGGCCGATGCGCTTCGCACTCCTTCCGTACAGTTTCCTCCGAACGAGCAGAGCGGAGCAGAGCGGAGGGGAGCTCCGCTCCGAGCGATCCGCACCGTTTTTCCAACGCGCTCGAGCGAGCGTGCGAGTCGACGCGAAGGACCGAGCCGGGTCGGGAAAACTACGGATTTATTCGGCGCGCGGCCAAGAGCCGGCAGCGGCGCCGGCACCGGCGCAACGGCCGCGATAACTCGTCGCCTCGACTCGCCTCGCCGTGCTCCGCTGCAGCAATTACCGCGACTCGCGAGCCGACGGCCTAATTAGCCGCGCTAATTAAAGTAATTCCGTTGGTTGATTCTATTTAGCGGCCGGACGAATTCCGCGAGAGGTTCGCGCCGCGCCGGCGGCCACTCCGCCTCGTTAATTCCTCTTGGAACCGTCATGCTCGAAGCGGGACCGGAGCCGAAACCGTTTGCGAAGGATTCCCCGTTCGTTCTGGCCGGAAGTCGATGTTCCTTTTCGACGCAGCGCGTTCGAGAAAACGTCGAATCAACCCCTTCCCACGGACCATGGATTTCGGGCCGGGTCGTTGAACCGAGCGAGAAGAGTTCCGAACGATGTCGCGGTTCCTTTGTCCGCGACTCGTCCAGTTAATTAACCGGTGACGGTTAGTCGGCGACTCGCGAAGCTGTAGCCGTTCTCCGTTCGGCCCACTTGGCGCGCGCGAATTAACGTCGGTCCACGCGAACCTCTTCTCGAAATTGTTATCGGAACGTTGAAACTCCAACGACCACGTTTCTCCATCCTGCGACGTCGAAAACCGAAACGCGTTTCCGCATTCGTTGTTCCGTAATTAGGTGAACTTTTCAGCTTGGAAAACCATAGGTTTCGTCTTACCGATGGAACGCCTAGCAAAATTCAGCAAAGACCCCCGATCCCGACGACGAGTTCGTCGACGAAGATCGTTGCCGGGAATCTCGAATCGCCCTTTAAACTGCTCGAAGATCCTCGAACAAAAGATCTCCGAGGATATTCCTCGGCAACGTCGAGTTCCGCTCCACAATGGCTTCGAACGAGAATCGAAAGTCGAACCCGAGGGTCCTCCAGCGTTACGAATTGAATTACGGCGGGCCGAAGCGCAAATTAAAAGTTTCCTTTTCAACGTTGCGCCCGGCTCGGCTCGCTTTTCCACGAGTTTCGCCAGACGGGGCGAGACGCTCGTCGCTCGTCGCGTCGCCCTTCGACGGCCGAGAGCCTCGGACGATCCTCGTCGAGATCTCTCGCTCGATCTCGCTCTTTCTCTCGCGGAGCGCGTTGTTTCGCGACTGGAAAGTTCTCCTCTCGAAAATGCGGACTTCCGGCCCCGCCTGGTTCGCGTCGTTTTCCATCCCCTTCGCGCGCGTCTCGAACATTTCCGAGATTTCCTCGCTCGAGAAGTTGACGGGAACGCGCGCGTTCGCGTAACCGCGACTCGGAGCAATCTTTTAATTTGCGAATTCGCGCGTAGAAAGTTGTTAGAAAATTTGCTCCTCCGTCGCCGTTCAAATTTCTAACGTATCCCCGAGGGATCCTGCGCGCGTCTCCAGCCCAGCGCGTCGAAAGCCGATCGTTCGAGCGGATTCGTCGGCGAGTAATCGATTGGGAGGCGATCGGCGTCGCGGCCAGACCCGTTGGAACTCCGAAGAGGCGAATCAGGGTGGCGCGTGGCGGATCGATATCGTCCGCGGCGAGTTTCCTTCGCTCGGCGATTCGCCCTCGCGGGGGAAACGGCGAGCAGAATTTTTTAACGAAGCGGATTGCCTCGCGTATCGTCCTTAAGGAGATCGATCGATTCTCCGTTGGTCGAGCTTGCCTCGTTCATCCGCCGCGCCGCGCGCGCGGAAAAGGAACCGGGAGAGGAAGAGAAGAAGACGTGTTCCAGCTTCTCCTCGCCGCTTGTTGCTCTCGCGGCTTCTCGTAGTTCTTGCGGCGTCGCGTCGCGTCGCGGCTAGCGTCCTCTCGTCGAAGAAACTGGTTCCAGGCCACCGCTGGTTCGCGTTAAATGGAATGGATTGGAAATACGAAGTTCCGCGAGAAAAAACCGAGTCCGCGGAAAAAGCTGCCGCGCTCGGCATGAATAATAACGCGAGCTCTCCTTCCGCTCTGGCAGGGATTTATAGTTCCCTTAAACTCTCGGTCATTTGTTACCGCCTCTTCAATTTCTCGGGATCGCGGGAACACCCCCTCGACCCGAGGGGATCCGAGGGCGTGCGAAACGCCGCGAGAAGAACGGAATCGGCCTCGTCTCGTTAGGCGCGCGGAAGAATTTGATCGATGCCCCTCGCGAGCCGAGAAAGTCGTGAAAACGTTCCGAGAAATTGCAGGAACGATTTGCCTCGCGATTTCTGTCGGACGTATTACCGGATGGTTCGTCGAGCGGACCACGGATTTACGGATACCCGCGCCGCGGGCATTTCCTCGGCAAATTGCGAGAGAAACTGTACGGTCGAACGGTCCGCGTTAAATCGCGAACCGGAGTTTCTTGGAATCGAATCGTTTCGGGGCACCGCGCGAGCCGATTGTTCGACCCTTCGGACAACGCGGACATCGAAGCAGCGTTCGCGGCGCTGCACGGACGAGCGCGAAGACAAACGGAAACGCGATAACCTTGCCGCGGAAGCGTTTCCAAAATCGCCGCGGGATCTCGAAGAGTCGAACCGCGATCCTCGATCCGCGAACTTTTCGGGCCGCGAATATCTCGGAGCGCTTCGGATATTATTTCGATTAGAATTTCGCGCGGTCCGCCGATCGGGATCGGCGATCGTTTATCTTGGCGCGGCGAGCTCCGAGCGGATTTCGCGAATTCCTCGGATCGAAATAATTTCCCTCTAATTGGTTACGAGCGTTCCGACGATCGTGGAATTGTTCCGCGCGAACGACCGCGCCGAAGAGCCGACGAAACACGGAACGAGCGGAATAAAAAAAGGAAACCGGGTCCTCGGCAATTTCGTTCGATTAAACGGTACGCGATCTGCCTCGATTTCGAGGGAGGGGGCGCTACGCGGCCGAAATTGCATCGAACGAAGAGAGACGCCGGAGGCGGGAATCCCTTTATCGTCGCGCGGATTTTTTTCAATGGACCCTCTCGAGCCGACGCGACCGGAATAATTCAAACGTAATCGAACGCGGTCCCGTGGAATCGTTCCGTTGTTCCGATATTTACGCCTCGTAAATACGGACAACCCGAATCGATCGTCGTCGAATCGTGGCAACTCGTGTTCGAAGAAGCAGACCGCGCGTCGAAGACGGCCGGGACGGTAACTAAACGTGTTCGTTCCGTCCATTCGAGAGAACGCGACGCTTCGTCTCTCGATTCGGAAGGATCGCCCGCCGTTCGCGTTCGGTATCGCGAATCGTGCTCGAACCAGGTTTTCGTTCCGATTCCGACACCGTGTTCCACACCGAGCTGATCGAGCCCGATGCGAAATATAATCGTCGGACTCTTTCCTCGAGGGATTCGCGCAATACGGAGCACCGTGGTTCCGGTTTAATTGTCGGCTCTCCGCGAGCGGCTGGCAGAAATTTTAATCAGCCCGCGGGTGGAGCCGATCCGACGGCCTCGCAAATTTTTCACAGTGTTTGAACAGTCCCGACGAAGAGGGAAGCCGGCGTGTCGTGGGATAAGAGGGTCGTCGGCGGCGGAGAGGGCGGAGAGGGCGGAAAGGGCGGAAAGGGCAAAAAATTTCAATGACGCCATCGTTTCCGGTGGAAAATCGTTAAAGATGAGGACACGCGCGAGTGCACGGCCGGAAGAATGGCGGCCGAGAGGGTTGCGCGGTCCTCTTCGACCCCGCCGCAACCCGGCCCTCGGCCCCCGCGCCGCCTCTCGCCGCGCCACCTTTGTCTTGCCGGCTCGAGGAAAACTTTTAATCCGACCGCGAAACAAGGTTCCCGCGGCGAAACGCGGCATCGACGCTCTCGTCGGACCCCTTCCGGTATCGGTAGACGTCGATGGTCGATGAATAATTCGTGAGCCGCACCGTTGGCTGCACCGTGAACTGCCGCGACGAACACCATCGACCCCAGGAGCTCTTGGTCGACGCGACGCGACGCGACGCGACGCGCCGCACCGTCGCATCTAAATTTCATCCCGTCTACCGCACCGATGCGATGGATCGAGAAATGAATTTCGCCTCGAATCAAACGGGATCCTCGAACTCGCGGACCACGCCTCCCAACTTCCGGAACAATTTGCTGCAGGGTTGGAAAGTTCGATTCGAACGAGCATCCCCGTTCTCTCGGAGCCACGAATTTCGGGGACCCGAGTCTATCTGCTCGCAGTTGTCTCGCGACGCTTAATTACCTCCTCGTTTAATTCGACTTCTTGGCCGTGCGGTCGCGACGCAGCTTCGGCGCGTTACCTCTCCATCGTTCCGCTTTTTCGTTGCAAAGTCGAGAAATCGACCGTTTCGTTGCGGGCGCGAAGAAGAAAACTGCTTTCGACGCTGTTCGATCGAACCGTAATTAGGCAAACGCGGCTCGATGCCGACGCGATCGCCGTAGATTTTTAATCGAAGCGTGGAATTTACACGCATCGTGGCGGAAACGGGTAGACGACGCGCGCAGCGGCGAGAGCGAATTTCCTTCCGAATGACCAGAACCCCCATAAATATGGAAGACGCGGTTCCCTGTTTATACCGAGGTCCGTTAAGTGCTCGAGCCCTTGCAGAATTAATCGCGGTCTGCTCGGTATCGGCGTCGGCCTCGAAATTGTTCGCCGTGGCGGCAAGTTCGAATATCTTCTTCGGCTAAGTGTTTATTAATAGTACGCGGAGCATGGTTGAAATTGCTTTAGTTCCGGTAAGGTACGCGAGCCGGGTCGGGTCGGGGTCCCTCTTGCTACGAAACTACTGGCAGGTCTGCCGCTCGCCGCTCGCCGCGATAAAGTTGCCACCGTGCGGCGCGGCACAGGCGCGGCACGGCGTGGCAGTGGCACGGCCAGAAATTCCACTTACGTATACGTGTAGCAGGAGACCAACGGCGGATAGCGGCAGCCGCGTCCGGTTATACGCAGCCTGTGTTCACTTAGCGCGGTTAGTGGCGCGACCGAGATAAGCTCGGCCGAGCGGCTGACCGTTCGCGGACGGCGCTACTTGCGAGTTCTACGGGGCCACCGCAAGAACGTTAACGGCGATGCCCGAAACCGGCCGAATTTCGGCGATCGCGCGGCATTTTCGCGCGACCGTTCGCCCCGCGATTCTACGCGCGAGCCGAAATCGCTCGAAATTCGTGGATCGCTGTTCGAATTACGAGCCAACGTTGTTTACATTTTCGGAACGAACGAGATTACGTGCTCGCGAAGAAAATACTGGGGCAATCTCTGCAGATTTATGAACGGCGGGTTTGAAAAGATTAACGTTATCGCGGAGGATCGATGGATCAACGGTAAGAGCCATTCACGGGTAGCGATCGCATCTGCACGTGAGCGATCCACCGCGACGATTAAACTGCAACCGGTGCAGGTAGAACGTTGAAAAGGAACGGGCACTTTCTACCTCGAGCAATTCAGAGTTCTCCGGGAAGTTCCAGTTGAAAACGCCGTTTCGCGAACGAACGTGGAAACCCGGAGCGCGGCGAAGTCGAGGTGGAAAAGTTCGCGAGGTTTAGGAAGGGAAATGCCACGGACGCTCGAAGGTCTTTCCTCCGAGAATGTCCGGCGTCTCCGCGAGGGCTGAACGGCGCGAACGCGACGCGCGAGTCGTTTCGAACGCGCGCGAAGAGCCTCGACTCGAGGAGAAAATAGAATCGTCGGACCGATCTCGAGTCGATCGTTGTCGTCGGCGGTCGACGTTGGTCGACGTTAATCGATGTGGGTCTGTTTCCTCCGGCAGTCGGAGGTGTTTCAGGCAGCAGTTGCGGCAGCGGCGGCCGCGGCCGCAGGCGGCGGTGGCCAGCAACCGGCTCCGACGCCCGCCGGCAACGAGACCAGCCCCGAAGGCGCCATCGCCGTCGAGGGCACCGCCATGGTACCTGTCACATCGGGCGCGACCACACCCGCGACCGCGACGCAGGGCACGGACCTCAAAGGACAACCGAAACGCCTCCACGTCAGCAATATTCCTTTCCGTTTCCGAGACCCTGATCTCAGGGCAATGTTTGGGGTAAGTATCGCCTGTTCGCATCTCCCTCGTCGTCTTTCGTTGTCGAGATTCGCGAGTAGGTCCTCGTTCGACGGACGATCCCGAGGAACGGGTGTACCGACGCGTCCGTAAAATCCGCCGTCCGTTCGCGATTTCTCGTGTCCGCCGTCTATTACTTTTCGATCGTTTCTCGATGTCGCGTGTCGTCGCGATACGGTGGTAGTTGCACGGATCGTAAATATTCTCGGTTGCCTCTGGAGACGGTCGCGTCGTTTATCGAAGAGAAACGTTGTTCGAACGGACCGTACGATGCAAGACCGAAGCGGGTTCCCGAGGCGGAAAGTCCCGCGCGGTTACGCGCGACGCAACGGTGGATCGCCGATCTTCGCGCTTCCGCGACGTTTTCTCGCCTCCTCGGTCTTCGGTGTCCGCGCTTCCTCGTAAAATAGAATTTCCTTTCCTTCGCGAAAGGATTCGAAACCGATTCGAAAGAGAAACGACGGAAATTCTATCGGAGCAACTCGCGTTCCATTTTCCCCGAAGGCGGTCTTCGGAAGGCGCGAACGCGCGAGAACCACGCTTCGATCGTAACTCCCGAATCGAATGCTTTCCTCCGGGGGCAGACGATACGATAATTCCGAAGATCGAAGCCCGTTCGAGATCGGATCGCGCGCGGCGGAAAATCTGGCGAACCGTAAAGAACGCTACGCCGAGAGTTCCGAACCTGCTTTCGAATTCGCCCGATTAAAAATTTCGCAACGTCCGATACTCGCTCGAAACTTCCGATCCCCCGGTTCGAGCTTTCCAACAGCGCGCAACGTTTGCTCTCCGAGGTTCGCGCGCGATCATCGGGCGCACGCGGTAATTCGCGTTCGTCGCGATTTTTCCCAGCGAACGTCCGCGCGCGAACAAATTCCCCGGATCGTTCGGAAACGCTCTGTTTAATCGGCTTTCTGTTTTCCAGCAATTCGGGCCAATCCTCGACGTGGAAATCATATTTAACGAAAGGGGAAGCAAGGTAAGCTCACGTCGCCCTTAGGCTGCGAGCCACCCCTGTCAACCCACCCCAGAAAATACCGATAGACTTAAGCCACAGATCCGTGCCGAACGAAATCCCCGTCGCCAGGATGAACTCGCTTTCGCTTTCGCTTTCGCTTTTGCGTTCGCGTTGTTTGCCGAAAACAACGAGTCGATCGATTCCCGCGAACCGTTCGAATTCCCGAAAACTCTTCTTCGGCTTCGGCTCGACGAACCCGAAGAGAGAGGATTCGGCAATTGTTCGGAAGAGTTTGCTCGTTTCGACGATGCCAGCAATTTTACGGAAAAAGAGAAAGAATCGTCGCAGCGACCTTCCAAATAATTGACAAGAATTTTCGGAACAACTCGCGCGGTCGATCTTTCCTGCAATATCCCACCTCGAGAAGACATCCGGGCGACGCGGACGTCGCGACGCGACGCCGTAATCGGCCGGTCGACGCGATCGAGCGCGGCGCGGCGATCCTCGAGACGGATCGCTCGATCCACGGGGATAAAGAAAGGAGGAGTCGGTGCGCCGCGCTCGGCCGCTCGACGCGACGGCCTTATTCTTTTTGCAGCGCGATGGCAACGGGCGACACGCTCGTTCCAGGTCGCGCGGTCCGCGCACCGCTCTCGAGCGTCCAATAAATCGGCGCCATTGTCGACACCGGGCTTTCCTAGTGCCTGTGAAGCATCCGGAAAGCCTTACAGAGAATTATCGCAGTCTTGTTTCTCCCGAGTTTCGCCAATTTTTTCTCCGACGCTGTCGCCCGCGGGGCGTACGGCTGCGCCTGCAAATACCAGAGAGACGCGGGTCCGTGAATTACGGAGACGGAGCAGACGGGGGAGATAGGTCGCTGAATGGAAACGCGTCGAGATTGCTCCTACTTCCGGTAATATGTAAGATCGGAGGAGGTCCGACTTTTTTTATCCGATGGAAGGGACGGCAGGAACTCGAAGCTTCTTTTCGAGCCGCACAATGCCTCTGTGCTTTGATTCGTAAGGCGATCGTCTTCCGATATATAACGATCGTTTCTCGCGAATTCGTAGGTCACGAGTCGTAAATCGTAGGTCGTGGATCGTCGGCGATCGTTTCTGCGGTGTAGCGCGGAGTAATCGGGATCGAGAATCGATGACGCGACTTTCCTCGTTTCTCTTTGTCGTCCGCGAGAGGATCGGATCAGTTTCAACGTCTTACTTAATCTCGGGATTAGCTCGAGATTTCACGGAAGAGTCCAGCGGAGCAAATTTTCAATTATTCTTGTCGACTCGACCCGAGCGGATTTCGAGATCGAGCGAGAAACAGAGATTCGAGAGTGGCGGCGAAACCGAGAGTCGGTTTCTTCTTCCTTCGCCGATCTCAATTTTAGTCGTTGTTGCCCCGACAGTTTCGACGGGAAAAATTGAAGGAGGTCCTCGCGTAGATTTGCGCGGATTCGAAAGCGATCTCGAACGGAATAACGAAAGCGAGCCAGCAAGGAAGCCGGAAAGAATAGCGGATCGAGATGTCGAGCTAGGCGGATGCGACCGGTCGCCGCTCTCCGAGAGGAATGGCCCGAGAAATCGAAGACCTGCTATCGCCGGTGGTATATGCGAACGGAACGCAGGAAAGCGGTCGAGGAAAAAAAAAAGTCGAGAAGAGACAGAGAGAGAGAGAGAGAGAGAGAGAGAGAGGGAGAGAGAGAGCGAGAGAGTAGTCGGGGTCCGGTGTGTAGCAATGTTTGAAATGCAAATCGGTTTCAATATGGATGACAACGGTCTGGATAAGATCCGCGGTAATACATCGCGGCGACAGCCGGCATCCGGCGAGCTTGCATATTCAGCGTCTTTGCGTCGAGCACAGCCAAGTGCACTTCATCAAGCTCCTACGGGCACCGGTAACCCAATAGCGTATCGGCGCGGCACGGAGCGACCCGACGCTGCGCGGCGGCTGCTGGCGACGCGACGTCGTGCTCGTCCATTGTCCAGCCGACGATGATCGAGCCCGATTCGGATCTCTGATTTGGACGGACCCCCGTCTGCCGCTGACTCGGTCCGGCTCTCGACCGCCGTCTCGTCGGGGCGAGCCGCAGCTTCTTCCCGTGGACCTCGAGGAATCGCCGGAACAGCCGATACGCGTACGTCGACGGAAATTCGCTTCGTTTCGATCGGCTTCCTTGGAAATCGTTTTAACGAANGATGCCAGCAATTTTACGGAAAAAGAGAAAGAATCGTCGCAGCGACCTTCCAAATAATTGACAAGAATTTTCGGAACAACTCGCGCGGTCGATCTTTCCTGCAATATCCCACCTCGAGAAGACATCCGGGCGACGCGGACGTCGCGACGCGACGCCGTAATCGGCCGGTCGACGCGATCGAGCGCGGCGCGGCGATCCTCGAGACGGATCGCTCGATCCACGGGGATAAAGAAAGGAGGAGTCGGTGCGCCGCGCTCGGCCGCTCGACGCGACGGCCTTATTCTTTTTGCAGCGCGATGGCAACGGGCGACACGCTCGTTCCAGGTCGCGCGGTCCGCGCACCGCTCTCGAGCGTCCAATAAATCGGCGCCATTGTCGACACCGGGCTTTCCTAGTGCCTGTGAAGCATCCGGAAAGCCTTACAGAGAATTATCGCAGTCTTGTTTCTCCCGAGTTTCGCCAATTTTTTCTCCGACGCTGTCGCCCGCGGGGCGTACGGCTGCGCCTGCAAATACCAGAGAGACGCGGGTCCGTGAATTACGGAGACGGAGCAGACGGGGGAGATAGGTCGCTGAATGGAAACGCGTCGAGATTGCTCCTACTTCCGGTAATATGTAAGATCGGAGGAGGTCCGACTTTTTTTATCCGATGGAAGGGACGGCAGGAACTCGAAGCTTCTTTTCGAGCCGCACAATGCCTCTGTGCTTTGATTCGTAAGGCGATCGTCTTCCGATATATAACGATCGTTTCTCGCGAATTCGTAGGTCACGAGTCGTAAATCGTAGGTCGTGGATCGTCGGCGATCGTTTCTGCGGTGTAGCGCGGAGTAATCGGGATCGAGAATCGATGACGCGACTTTCCTCGTTTCTCTTTGTCGTCCGCGAGAGGATCGGATCAGTTTCAACGTCTTACTTAATCTCGGGATTAGCTCGAGATTTCACGGAAGAGTCCAGCGGAGCAAATTTTCAATTATTCTTGTCGACTCGACCCGAGCGGATTTCGAGATCGAGCGAGAAACAGAGATTCGAGAGTGGCGGCGAAACCGAGAGTCGGTTTCTTCTTCCTTCGCCGATCTCAATTTTAGTCGTTGTTGCCCCGACAGTTTCGACGGGAAAAATTGAAGGAGGTCCTCGCGTAGATTTGCGCGGATTCGAAAGCGATCTCGAACGGAATAACGAAAGCGAGCCAGCAAGGAAGCCGGAAAGAATAGCGGATCGAGATGTCGAGCTAGGCGGATGCGACCGGTCGCCGCTCTCCGAGAGGAATGGCCCGAGAAATCGAAGACCTGCTATCGCCGGTGGTATATGCGAACGGAACGCAGGAAAGCGGTCGAGGAAAAAAAAAAGTCGAGAAGAGACAGAGAGAGAGAGAGAGAGAGAGAGAGAGAGGGAGAGAGAGAGCGAGAGAGTAGTCGGGGTCCGGTGTGTAGCAATGTTTGAAATGCAAATCGGTTTCAATATGGATGACAACGGTCTGGATAAGATCCGCGGTAATACATCGCGGCGACAGCCGGCATCCGGCGAGCTTGCATATTCAGCGTCTTTGCGTCGAGCACAGCCAAGTGCACTTCATCAAGCTCCTACGGGCACCGGTAACCCAATAGCGTATCGGCGCGGCACGGAGCGACCCGACGCTGCGCGGCGGCTGCTGGCGACGCGACGTCGTGCTCGTCCATTGTCCAGCCGACGATGATCGAGCCCGATTCGGATCTCTGATTTGGACGGACCCCCGTCTGCCGCTGACTCGGTCCGGCTCTCGACCGCCGTCTCGTCGGGGCGAGCCGCAGCTTCTTCCCGTGGACCTCGAGGAATCGCCGGAACAGCCGATACGCGTACGTCGACGGAAATTCGCTTCGTTTCGATCGGCTTCCTTGGAAATCGTTTTAACGAACGCTCGGAGAGGCGGCGTTCGTTATCGCCTACGATACATCGATCGCGCTCGATTCGATCGAACGCTTCGACGACTTTGTTCAGAATTTTGTTCGAGGCTTCGAAAAGTTGTAACCAACGCCGATGCTGCTCGTTTTCCATCGACTCCGAAGAGACTCTCTCGGCTCGAGAAACTAATTGCTTCCGTCAAGAAATTTACAAAGCACTCGTGCAGCCTCGAAAGCGCAATCGGAAACTATTAAAGGCCCGAAGAAATTAATCGTCCGGGAAGCCGGGAAGGGCAAAATGCCGGCGCGAGATCGATCGAATAGCTCGAAGCAAAGTTGGAGCTAATACCCCGAGTGGAGAGAGAGGGGTCCGTTCGCCGCCGAGCCGGTTCGAAACGATCGCCGGAGACGGCGCTTCGGAGCGTTTCCGAGGAAAAGAAGTCTCGAGTCGCGCGGAGAAGTTGGCCGCGGAGGTTCCGGAGAGGATGGTAAATAAAACATGCGGCTGTGGAATTTAATTCGCTTACCGAGACTTCGCGATAACTTTGGCCCGAAATCGGGCGACCCGTTCCGATAAACAATTCCGATTCGACCGAAGTCCGCCTCGCTTCGGGTTCGAAACTTCGGATTTCTTTCGCTGTCGGAGGACTTCCGGTTCCCCGGTGGGAGCTCCCGGGATCTCCCGGGGCCCGACATCGGTCGACGAACTCGGCCGCGTGGGTTCAAACTTCTCCGACGACTTCGAGACGCGCCGTGACGCGAGAAATCGCGGCCGAAACGCGGGAGGCGTATTTTTGTAACGGGAACGAAAATAGAAGAAACCACGCGGCGACGGCGGCCGCTCGTTCCGGAACAATTTCTTTCGTTGCCAGCCTCGACGATCGATCGGCGTCGTCTCTTCGGAAAATCTTATCCGAGGACCGGAAAACTAATCGTCGAAGTCTCCGA